GAGAATATGGTAATACTTTTGCAGAGATTTGGGGCAGGATTGGCAGCTTTTGGCTTATGATATGTGGTTCAGATCAGGCTGCAAGATGCACATTCAGTGACCGAAAGCAGACTGAGAATTAAAGTAACACTCTGCCTCCTTCATCTCAGTGTTATGGGGCCTGGGGTCTTCTAGCAGCGCCTTACCTTATAGTGTTGAACCATTATCGAATGGTGAAACACCAGTTTTCGGTTCTCAGGGGCACGTCATGCCGCCTCCTCTGTCCTCTCTGGCTGCTATTTGTTGAGGAATTGCCTTGGTGGCCGTGATAGTCGGCCAGCAACACTCTCAGTTATTTACTGGCCAGTGGCCACACGTTACACGTAACAGTATGTGCTCCAGAGGAGATGAAGTTGTGGGGCCGAAGTACCCATTTAATGATTTTCATATTGTTGTCACAGTATAAACCCTAACTCGCAGAGTGTAATCCTATTGGAATCACATAGAACATATTACTGGACCTTATAGTGGCTTACTGTGGCTGAGATAGAATAGTCAGGAATAAGCCAAAAATGAGGCAAACCAGGAGACAGGAGGATGAGAGACAATGACAATAGATAACAGAGATCAGAATAGTCAGAAACCAGAATAAGCACTAACAATACAGAATGCACCACAGGGACCAATAAGGAACCACAACAGGGTGATGACAAAAGGACAAAGCGCTCTCTTTATGGTGTGAGCGAGCGCTTTAACTTTAAAATCACACCCCTAAACCGTAAGGAGATGGTGGAAATTACACTATGTGTCATTAGTGTAATGATGATTACGTTGCATCATAAGAGGAGGTGGAAGTGACAGCATCGCCGAACGCCGGGATAGAGGAGCGATCAGCAGTCACCTCCCCATGTGGTCGTCCGTGAGAAAGGTAGGTTATCGTGGCAACCGGAAGGTAGGACATCACTTGTTATAGTCACTAGAAATAACCCAAGGACTGAATGCAGAGACCAATCAAAACAAATGAAAGCAGCTCTGTCACGGGTTACACAGCAATTTTTGTCCAAGATTTAGAAGTCCACTATATAAAAATGAAATAATAAAATAGTAATAAAAAACATTTTTTTTTATATGGAAAAAATAGTATAATGAAAAAAATAATAATATTTAAAAAAAACATAATTTTTTAAACTTTGTTTTTAGGAGATAAGCCACATTTTAAAAATTCACATTTTCCAAATAGCAAAATTGGGCTTGCACTTACCAAGCTGTCAGCCCGATCTGGTCCCTGAATAATGGGACACCATGGGGAACAAGGCCAAGACGCTGCACACTCCAGAGGAGAGGGCCTGAGATATCGGAGACATGTTAAAAGTGAGGCCTAGATCTAAGATGGCGGACCTGCCTTGATCTTCTTCCTCCGATGAAATCATGGATGCACCAGATAAAAATCACAGAATCTGCATTCCTACAGGAGGGAGACCTTGAGGCCTCACCTACTAAAGGGGATTTCCTGCACTCTGTGAAAGATATCTGCACCGTCTTCCACGCTGACCTGGCGATAATGCACGAAGAGTTGTTGCCTGTCACAGAGAGGGTAAAAAAGACAGAGGAAGATATCTCCTACATAACACAGAGGCAAGTGTGCACGACGGAGCACGTCATAAAACTTCAGGCCTCTCACAAGGCCCTTCAGGCTAGAGTGGAGTCTCTAGACAATGTGCACCGGCACAATAATCTAAAGTGCGTGGCATAGATGAAATCATCCATCGTTGCCAAATAATTGCCGCTTTTCCTCCGGCACCCACCAGCTCGCATACTGCTCCCACGTCAAGCCAAGACCATAGCAGTGGAAAGCATCTACCGTCTTACCAAATCAGCAAGGCCTCCCACGATGGCCTCCCAAGACGTCCTAATCCGCTTCCAGTCATTCCGGGATAAAATGGCTGTATTGGAGGCATTCAAGTCCAGAGCACCATGCCATTTGAGGCGATGCAACTCACCTTCCTGCAGGATCTCTGCAGAGCCACCCTAGAATGGAGACGTTCGGTTCGACAGGTCACTCAGTCCCTGCGGGAAGCAGACATCCGATACAAATGGGGCCCAGCTCACAGCCTCACAGCAATCAAAAGTCACACTGTTTACAGCCTCACGCCTTCTTCCTGCGGGACCAGGGCTTTACACAGCGTCATGACAATCACCCTGCAGCTGACTGCTCCTGGAACGTACAGAACATTGAACCCTTCCTACCGCGTATATAACCTATATTATAGAACATTCTTCAATAGCAGAGTACGTATTATGTGACAACCAAAGTGTTCCGTGCACAGCGCTACGGAATATGATGGCGCTATATAAATAATAAAATAATAATAATAATATGCTTTGCTGTTGTATGTTCCTCGACTTGTTTCATGTTGGAATGAGTCAAAAATAAAGAATATTTTTTTTTTTAAATTCACCTTTTCATATTTTTACCATTTACTTATTTTTGTTTTAACTTCACAGTGATTTTTATTTGTTTATTTTTCAAGTTTTCCCCCTTTCTAAAGGTCCGTGGAATTTTTCTGTAGTATCACCACTAGTGATATTGAATCAAGAGTTGGAGCCAATGGATACTTTCTGTTACATTGTCAGCCCTTGTTTGCAACAATCTATGTTGTATTAGAAGAATCTTTAGATAATATCTAACATGGGGTATTTACACAGCGGTAACGGAGGATATAGGAATTTATTCTAGGATAGTTATGCATTAGGTGTCTGTGATTATCAATCTTTTATTCCTATATATGTATTACATTGTTAGATAGTAATCAAGATTGAAATTAAGACAAAGCCCATCATGTTCAACCGTCAAACCCATTATTTAATGCTGTTGATCCAAAAGAAGGCCAAAAAAAACCAATAGTAGCCAGTGGCGGAACTACCACGGTCGCAGGGGTCACAGCTGCAACCGGGCCCATCACTCCAAGGAGCAAGCGCCGGGCACCCAACGAAGGGACCCATATGGTAGTCCATGCTCTTGGGGCCACCCGATGGCAATGAATTACCTGGGGCCCGGTCAGCGCTGGGGCGCTTTTAGAGCGCGACCAGGTCCCATTGACGATGTCATTGATGATGTAATTGATGTCGTCATTGATGACGCCATAGTGCCCACAGGAAGAAAGCCATCACTTCCTCCCAGCATACACAGAGCAGAGCCACGCGGGAGGAGGACGCAGGGAAAGGAGAGGAGGGAGTCAGAGCTCATTACGCTGTATACCGTACATTAAACTGTATACTGTACAATAAGCAGTATACTATATGTTAAGCTGTATAACGTACATTAAAGGATCATAATAGTGTCTGGAAAACAAACTCGTTTTCCTGACACTATATCCTCCTTGGGACGCCCCCACCCTCAGGGTCCCCCTCTCATAATCCGGTACCGGGCTCCCTTGGCGCTGGTGACCTCTCCTCCCCGCCGTGGGCTCCAGAGTGGAGCGGAATGCACATGCGCGTCAAGGCCGCACGCGCATTCAAACAGTTCATAGGAAAGCATTTCCTATGGATGTTCTGCCTGTTGGATGCGAATTTCGCATCCAGCGTCACAGAAGCGCCTCTAGCAGCTGTCAGGAAGACAGCCACTAGAGGTTGGATTAACCCTGAAGGGTTAAAACCTGGGGAACCTGGCACCCAGACCATTTCATTGAGCTGAAGTGGTCTGGGTGACTACAGTGTCCCTTTAAGCTGTATACTATAAATTAAGCTCTATACCGTACATTAAGCTGTATATCGTACATTAAGCTGTATACCAAGCATGTCAAACTCAAAGTCTGGCACGGGCCACATAAACAAGGTTTACGTTTATGTGGGCCGCAAAATAAACATATACCTTAAATTTTCATAGAAACGTAGGTTTATTTTAAAAAGTACAGTATAAAAAAAAAAAAAAAACAGCATCCCCCTCTACTAAACCACAGCACCCCTATACTAAATCCCAGTCCCCCCTCTACTAAACCACAGCACCCCCTATACTAATTCCCAGTCCCCCCCTTTACTAAACCACAGCACCCCCTCTACCACCCTGTGCCAAATCTGATCCTCCCGCTGACACACACACATACTCACAGACAGACACACACATACAGACACACTGACACACACAGTGACAGAAACACACACATACTCACTGACAGACACACATACTCACTGACAGACAGAGACACAGACTCACTGACAGACAGATACACAAACATACTCACTGACAGACAAACACATACAGACACACGGACACACACACTGACAGAAACACACACATACAGACAGACAGACAGACACACACATACTCAATGACAGACAGACACACAGACTCACTGACAGACAGACACACAAACATACTCACTGACAGACAGACACACACACATACACACATACTGACAGACACACACACATACTCACTGACAGACAGACACAAACAGACGTCAACAATACATACAAACACATCTTTGTGTTAAAAACCAAAAATATATATAAACACACCCAGCTTAAAAAAAAACTACACATAGATGCACACTTGCATTCAAACACCAACACCACCTACAAACACACCCCTACATTTACACAAACATACTAAATACAAAAACATGCTTCCATTCAAACACACAAACACAAGTCAACTCAGTGCTAAATACAACTCTGCAAGCATGGGAAAATGGTTCAGCAACTGCGTTGGGAAGTGGAGAGCGTGATTGCATGCCAGGGAGTGGGGGTCAGGGGGCCCCATCAAATGCTTGCCCAGCGCCCAATCAATATTAAAGACGGCCCTGCGTACATTAGCTATATACTGTACATTAATTACTTTATACCCAGCACTATATATGTAATATTTATATCAATGACTGGGTTTATTATTGGAGTTCTAAGGCTGACTGTTAGAGATATAAACACTAGAGGCGGTGACTGTGTGTGTAATATTTATATCAATGACTGGGTTTATTATTGGAGTTCTAAGGCTGACTGTTAGAGATATAAACACTAGAGGCGGACACCGTATGTGTAATATTTATATTAATGACTGGGTTTATTATTGGAGTTCTAAGGCTGACTGTTAGAGATATAAACACTAGAGGCGGTGACTGTGTGTGTAATATTTATATTAATGACTGGGTTTATTATTGGAGTTCTAAGGCTGACTGTTAGAGATATAAACACTAGAGGCGGTCACTGTGTGTGTAATATTTATATCAATGACTGGGTTTATTATTGGAGTTCTAAGGCTGACTGTTAGAGATATAAACACTAGAGGCGGTCACCGTGTGTGTAATATTTATATTAATGACTGGATTTATTATTGGAGTTCTAAGGCTGACTGTTAGAGATATAAACACTAGAGGCGGTCACTGTATGTGTAATATTTATATCAATGACTGGGTTTATTATTGGAGTTCTAAGGCTGACTGTTAGAGATATAAACACTAGAGGCGGTCACTGTGTGTGTAATATTTATATCAATGACTGGATTTATTATTGGAGTTCTAAGGCTGACTGTTAGAGATATAAACACTAGAGGCGGTCACTGTATGTGTAATATTTATATCAATGACTGGGTTTATTATTGGAGTTCTAAGGCTGACTGTTAGAGATATAAACACTAGAGG